AGGGTAAGGCGCTTCTTTGCTTTCTCATATCCCCTTAATTCTCCCTGTCTCTCTGTCCTGCCTCAGCAGCTAAATAATAAAGGTGCTTTTATTTTGTATTTACGTATTAGTCTGTAGTGTATCTATCCTCTAGCATCTGCTTGTCTGGTTTTTTTAAAATTAGAGATGCATGGTTTTGCCATTAAACAATAGTTTTGCATTCCAGTGTTACAATTATGTGATTGTATTGGTTTTTAGAAACTACCGTTTGCTGTAGCAAAGGTAGTTTGGAGAGTAAATTAGAGTTTATTTTAATGCAGCACTCACCCTGGGAAGAAGATGGAGCCACTTCTGAAGATACGTGTGAGACTGTTGGATATTTATGATTAATCTGCTTGTTTTTTCTTTGAAAGCCACATATGTAATAATTCAGAGTAACTTAAGCCTGAATTCAAGTCTCTGCTACTTATTTAATACATATGTCTCTCAGGAGATGAGTACCTTCATTATAAAGTGATTGTGAGGATTAGTGGCCAACATATCTAAAACAAGACAGTATCTAGCACATGGCTGGTAACTTGCTGTGTTTCAGAACAGTTGCTACAGAGCTAGGTGTGGTGGCACACATCTGTAATACAGTAATTCTGAGGCTGAGACAAGAGGATCACAAATTTCAGGTCAGCCTAGGCCACACAGCAATTCCCTACCATTAAAAAAATAATAATTGGTACAAATTTTCTTGTCGCATTCAAGTAACCAGTTTGCCTTTATTGACACATTGCTGGTCATGAGATTTGGCTATAAAATTGCCCTAGCTTTTTCTGTTTGTAGACAGCGTCTTAGTATAGTTGGAATAAAGCACCCTCAGATCAGCAGAATAAAACCAGAAGTACCAAAGCTAATAGCAGTTTTCTTTTGCACTAAAAGTAGAATTCATGTTCTAATGTTTCATAATAGTTAACTGGGATGAATGAATAGATGTCTAGCTGCTAGGAGCTATACTCTAGTCTTATAATCCTACTGATGGAGTGTATCCTACATAATCCAGAAAAAGAAAAATGAATATTTGTTTATTGTACTGTTAATCATATTCCCCTTAGTAAGAGAATCTAATCAGAAGTGGGATGAATGGTTAAAATCACCTCAGGATTATCACACAGCTTAAATGATAACTGTGTAGCTTGTGAGGCAACATTTGATATTTGAATAATAGATACAAACTCTATGCAAACTTGAGGACAGTTTGCTCTCACTTACTGGAAGCATCCTATGTTGCATGTAGTGTAGGTGCAAGGGATACCCAAATGGACTGAAGAAGTAAATTACCTGACCCTGAAAGAGCAGGCAAGCTAAAGGAAGGAGGAAATAGTTGAGATACTGCCTTTATCAGAAAGGTAAACTGGGGTAATGCAGACATTATGTATTAAATGTTTGCTAAGTATTTTTAATAACCTTAATTCTCAACACTGTGTAGTAGGTTTTTGTACCTTGGAAACACGAATGAGCTGAAGTTTACAGTGTGACCAGTAACATGGGAAAGGATTGTTGCAGAATCAAGATTCAACCAGTGTCTGTCTTCTAAAATCTGTGTTCAAAATCTCTACCTGCTAGGCATGGCGGTACCTGCCTTTAATCCCAGCACTCAGGAGGCTGATCTCTGTGAGATGGAGGCTAGCCTGGTCTACATAGTGTTGTAGGCCAGCTAGGGCTACAGGGAGACCCTATCTCAAAACACCAAAATAAATAAATAAATAAAAATAAAAATCTCTCCACCTTACTATGGCCTCCAGTTATGGAAAAAAATGATTTAATTCCATAAAATAAAATGGTTTTATTGTAGTAAGAGAATTATTTTCTCTCTCTCTTTTTTTGTTGTTTTTCATATTTTGTTTTTAATGTTAGCATTCCAGAGTTTTGCCAGTGCCTGAAGGTCTGGATCTTCATGTTTGGAAGGAACCACTCTCTGTCGTTGCTGTGTGCCTGTATGGAGCAGGACTGAGTTTCAAAAGATCAAATCTTGCAACTTGCATCTCAGTCAGAAATTACATTTTCCTAACATACGCTGTGCATAAAACATAACAGAACTGCTGGGCGTGGTGGCACACAGCTTTAATCCTAACACTCGGAAGGCAAAGGCAGGTGGATCTCTGTGAATTAAAGGCCAGCCTGGTCTACATAGTGAATTCCAGGCCAGCTGGAGCTACAGGGAGACCCTATCTCAAAGACACCCCCCCCCAAAAAAAAGTCATGACAGATTTGACTCCTTGGAAACTGATGAATAACAGTAAATGAATAAGCTGAAAGAATAACAGTAATGGGGTTTATGAATGACAGTGTTTGATTCTTGCATCAACAATCCGTACTCTGTGTTTTATTATTACACAAAATACTGAGGGTTAATGCCATCTCAACCATAAGATTGTACATCATGGGGCTGGAGAGATGGCTCAGTGGTTAAGAGCACTGACTGCTCTTGCAGAGGACTGGGCTTTGATTCCCAGCACCCACATGGCAGCTGTGAACCATCCTTAACTCCAGTTCCAGGGGAATCCGAAGCCCTCTTCTGACCTCCGCAGTAGTGCATGACATGGGTGCACTCACATACATGCAGGCAATACACTCATACACATAAAATAAAAATAATAAAATATTTTTTTAAAAAGATTGTAGCACAAGAGCCATCTTTGTCACATTACTGATGGCCACCACTGTACTCAGAAAATCCTCAGGAAATTGAGATTTGCCTGCCAACTATCATTTGAAGTTTTTAATTAATTAATCTTTGTTTATTTTTATTATTTTAAGTGCATGACGGTATTGCCTGTATGTATGTATATAAGTGCACTGTGTCATGTAATGCCCACAGAGGTCGCCTGGAAATGGAGTTACAGATGGCTATTAGCCATCATGTGGGTGCTAGGAACTGAACCTGGGCCCTCTGTAAGAGCAGTTAGTGCTCTTAACTGTCTTTCCAGCCCTCATTTAAAGTTTTTAAAAAGTATCTTTGAATTTGGTATTCTCCTATACAGGAAATACCATTGCTGGAAGTAATATCTAGGGGTCTGGATCAGGTTCCTTTTCTCCACCAATGCCAGAAAACTAACCCAGGGCCTCTTGTGCTCTATTCCTGCTCCCCTGTTCCCCCAACACTAGGGATCAAACCCAGCATCTCATTCATTCTAGGCAAGTACTCTACCATTGATCTACATTCCTAACCCTTGATAAAAGATTTAATGGTAAAATTATAAATTTTAGACTGTATAACACAAAGAATGAATCTAATGTAACCTATGGATTTCAGTTAATGTGTCAGTGTTGGTTGTCATTGTAACAACTGTATCATGTGATAGAAGATACCAATATAGGAAGGGATGGGGAAGAGACAAGGTGAGCAGAGACATATGGGAATTGTACTTTCAGCTCAGTTCTGTAAACCTAAAAGTAATCGGTATATTTAGTTGAATGTTTGTTAATGGATTCTTGTCATATAGAGTCAATGTTTAACCCTGCATCCTTGGGGTTTACAGAGCAGGTGGAGTGCTGTCCTAACCCTCAGAGTTTACAGTGGAGGTAAAGCGACCTGGGGTTTACAGAGCAGGTGGAAATGATGTGTAGTTTGTGCAGTGTGAGCTGCAGTCAGCTGGATTTACTTCTCTCTTTATCTAATGTTTATTAACCGTGCTTTCCACCCCCTCTCTGTGGAACAGTTGGAATGCCAAGATGCCCTGGAAACAGCAGCCCGAGCTGAGGGCCTTGCCTTGGATGTCTCTGTGCATTCTCATCTCCGAATTCTGGACGAGGAACATCCCAAAGGGAAATACCACCATGGTCTGAGAGCTCTGAAGCCCTTCCGGACCACTTCTAAGTAAGGCTGTGCTGGCTAATGACTCGTCCACAAAGCACTAAAAACAGTTTTGAAAATTTGAGCTAAAATTAGCATGTTGGGGAGACCTAATTTTTGTCAAGAGCTCTGTTTAGTGAAGAGTAAAGTTCACATACTGACCATCCTTGCAAAATGCACTGACAGCTTTGTGGTTGGATTTCTCTCCCTAGACACCAGCACCCAGTGGACAATGCTGGACTCTTCTCCTGCATGACGTTTTCATGGCTTTCTCCCCTGGCCCGTGTGGTTCACAAGAAGGGGGAGCTCTTAATGGAGGATGTGTGGTCTTTGTCCAAGTATGAGTCTTCTGATGTGAACTGCAGAAGGTAGGCGTCTCTGGTCCACCCTATATACCGGATGCTAGGCCTGAGCTAAGCGGGTGGGCCAGCAGTGTGGAGCCTGAAGCTCCATGTCCTTTTAGGCGCTCAGCTGCCCTGGGGAGGGCAGCCACCTGCGGACCACTTTCCTTTTGTGCTTCTGTTTTATTTCTGTTTCCCTCTAATTCTGTTTTAACCACGGGCTTTCTCTCTCTCTCTCTCTCTCAGCCCCGCTTCTCTTCCTGAGTCTACAGGGAGATTTTGTCTTTGCCTTGTGACAGAATACATTTTTGTGGTAGCTAATTGTCGGATTAAAATCTAGTTTGTAACTGCATTTTACCACAGGATCCTTTAGAAAGATTGGGGGCCCTTGAGAAAAGAAGCTGTTACCCACATTCTTTACTCAGGGGTGGAAGAAAAGTCTCTTGCTCTCCTTGTTTTCTGTACCTTCAGAAGCTCCCTTTAGAAAGTAAATAAAATGTACCCAGAAAGGGAGTTTTTCTCCAGAAGATGGAGGCTATGTGCATAATTTTAAAAGAGATTTGCGTATGCAGGGACAGAGCCTGCAGACAAATATGATGGCAGGAGTGGGGGGCTTAGGGTGTCTCTTTTCCCTGAGGAAATGTGTAACAGAGGACATGTGCCCTTGTTAAGACTAGAGAGACTGTGGCAAGAAGAACTGAATGAAGTTGGGCCAGACGCCGCCTCTCTACGAAGGGTTGTGTGGATCTTTTGTCGCACCAGGCTCATCCTGTCCATCGTGTGCCTGATGATCACGCAGTTGGCCGGCTTCAGTGGACCAGTAAGTTCTAACCATTCTTTCTGAACGTCTCCAGGGGCCCAGCCATGGCCGGCTCTAACCCTGTTGTTCTGTTGCAGGGGTTATGATCACCTTTGGGCTAGTTAGCCTTAGAGATGCTTCTAGGTTTATTGAAGAGGGCCAGTGGATTTGGGAGTAAATGGTGTCTTGTCAGCAGCCAGAAGGATGAGGACATAGTGTTGCAAGAGAAAAAACAGCTGGCTCGCTTTCCTGGGCTGGGTGAAGCTGGCCTGGCCCTGGTTCTGCACAGGACTGCTTATTGATGGTGTGCTGACATGAAGCAACAGTCTCGGTCAGGGCAGATATTTCTTGGCAGTGCTGTGAGTGTGCAAGCTGAGTGTTGTGTGGCATGGGCTAGCAAGCCTTGTTGGTGACATACGAAATGCCTGGAGGCATAGTTACCATGTATGTTTCTATGACAGATGAACCTTGAAGAAGCTAGGGAACTATCAAAGTTTTAAAGAGTCTAACCTGAAAACATTTCAAGTTTTGTATATAATGTAAACTGTGGCAAGCATTGGGGTGGCAGCTGTGGTTCTTTCCTAGTCTGTATGGAAGCAGTTTAGAAAAGGGAGCTTCTGACAGGTGTTTTTATAGGGCATCTGTTTGTTACACCTGTTGTGCAGCCTTACACTTGAGATTTTGATTAAATCTATTCTCTACACATTTGCCTTGAGGCATCGGAGCAGTAGTACTGTTTATACTGTGCATTTTCCATGTGTGGGTAAGCTGGAGGTTCATGGTTTGGGTAAGTATGTGTCTTAAGATGCATGATGACTAGGTAAAACTAATTTACAGGGGTTTTTATTGTTTTTTTGTTTCTTTGTTTCTTTTTAATGTTTGATGCCTTTAAAAAAATTTTTTTTGGATCTCTTCTGAAGCAGAGAACACTACTTTATTGGAATTAGGTTTCTTATTAATTTACCAACTAACATACTTTTATGTAAGTTTTAAATAAGAGGGACCATGTAACTGAAATGTTATACCAAAATGGCAAATGATTTCGTAGAACCAGCATCCCCCAAGAAGAGCTTCTGTCATTGTTTCACTACAGGGCTGGTGGCTGCTCTGATCCTTCGTAGAAGTCTTTCATATGGCTAGCACAGTATACAGGATTTCTTAATAAAGTCACAATAGACTTTCTTGATTCCACTCTCCTTTAAAAAAAAAATTCCATGATTGCTGGGATTAATTTTTTTACTTGAAAAAAAGTAATTTACCTATGCATGTTCGCTTTGGTGGCATGACGGTCACTCCGATCATGCACATGTAAAGCCCCTCTGTAAAATTCTTAATCTTTAATTTCTGATATAGCACACTGGGCTGCTAAGCTCTAGAAGATGCTTCTGGATGCCAGGGAAATCTGAGTGCCTTCCTCCAACAGGAAAGGTGGCAGGCACTTTTCTCTCTGCCCACCCTTGGGAGAAGAGCCCCAGAAAGCCAGTGGGCAAAGCAATGGGCCCATCCATTGTCTCTTTTTGTAAAGTGTAAACTATGCAGACTTATTTTCTTGAGCCCTAATTGATGTTTCTTTTTAACTGGTAATTGGAGAACCAGATTAGTTTTGAATATTTTTTGAAATTAGAATTAGCATCAAGTAAACCTGTAAGTGGGCATCGGTCCTTTTGAGGAACATTTATTTTAGATTTTTGTACATTTTCTAATCTGGCATGATTTTCAAGTTGACTTGTTCTGTTCTTATGAAAATTCATATAAGAACAGACTCCCCAAATTATAGGCCATAAATGGAGTACCACCTCAGGTCTCCTTGAGCCTTAGTAGCCATACATAGAACAAATGAAACACAATCAAGTTGTGTTATTTTAAACTTGCTTGGTCAGCTGATGCCAGACATTCATGTCTCAAGATGGTCCAAGGTTCTGATAATGCCAGCAGACCAGCATTCTGTGTCAAGTGCCTGAGGATCATGATAATGTTCACAGAGTACCAGAATCTCTATGGGTATGAGCTTTATTCAAAATCAAAAAGCAAACTACTAAATTTACAGAGATGCTTTGGGGGCCTTCTTAGACTGTGATAGTTTAAAAGGCCAGGCCTGACCTAGGATTTGTATATAAAGAGTTAGCATCTGCCCTAGACCTACAAGAACAGGCTGCCTTCTGCAGTGCTGTTTCTTAGTGAATGCTAACTCTGCTCCAGGCCTTGGGGAAAGGACAGTGAGAAGCCTTGAGAGAGGTAAGTTCCACCCTCCAACCTCTCTCCAGCCTCAGCTTGTTTGTGCTGTCAGGTTCTGGACTTGGGGGGAGTCTCTCTGTAGTGGAACCAGTGACAGAAGCTGTTCTTTAGAATTTTCAGGATGGCTGTATTCTGCGGTCAGAATGAGAGTCAAGCTGGGCAGAGTCTCTCGCCAAGAGCTCAGGTAAGGTAATGTTTCTTCACTGGGAATGCTTTCCACAGCAAGACAACTATGCTGACAATCTCAAGTTTTCTCCCAGTTTGTTTAGACTTAAATGATAAATTTATGACTTTTTAAAAACTGAATTTTGTTTGATTTTTCATGAAAACCTATTTTTCTTTCTCCCATACAAAACCATTTGAAATGTCGTTGCTTTTTAAAAACCCTGTGTGTTGGAAGTTCTTTAATCTGTTTCCTCTCCCCCCACCCTTGAAAGTTTTGCATAGTGTAAACATTGCTATGTCTTTTACCTTCCCTGCTCCTCCCTTCTGGGAGGGGCTGATGCACTATCCTGTGCTGAAATTGGGCACCCTAAAGGTATGGGAAGGAAGGAGTCCAAACAACACCTGCTGCCCTTTCACGCCTTCCCTGGAGACTGCTCCACAATGCTGCTGTGTGTAAGAAAGTGCTTCACCACACACCATCCTTCTGAGTTGCTTCACGAGAGGAGGAGGGGCTTTGGCCCCATGACCCAGTTCCACATTTTGGATGCGTACTGGAGAAGAAGCCAATCTTCTTGCTAGTAAACCAGCAGTCCACGTGTATGCAATGAGGACCCAGACATTGAATCTAAAAAATCTAAGGGAGGATAGAGTGGGATCCAATAGTTTAGAGTCTGAAATCTCCTGTTTGATCAGGTCATTTTACTGGGGCTTGACATAAACCTAATTGGTGAGGAATCTCATAGGACCTAGTAGACATGGTATTAAGTCACTTTCAGGAAAACTGAGAAAGACAAATTAACCTGGAGTCTGGGTTCTGGAATTCAGCATTGAGCACCTCAGGATGATAATATCTGGCCAGTTTTTGTCTGTCAGTGGGTGGTAGCTTATAGCCCCAGGACCCTGCTGTAGGAACCAGGGTAGATGGGTTTGAGTCCATTTCTTTTCTTCCTTTAAGGTGGGGGATTGGTTTGGCTTTCTTTTGTTGTGGTTTGGTTTGGTTTGTTTTTTGCCAAGATCAATTTTAGCTACCAGGACTTGAAAGACTCAGAAAGGTACCAACAGCCCTGGTCCCGCAGTCCAAGCGAGGAGTCTGTGTTACTTCTGGAGCAGGTATTGCAGTACAGCTTAGCACACCAACAGCACCTACAATTTTAAACAGAGTACCTTTTTAGGGGATTTTTAGTTTTTTTCTTTTAGTTTTTTCTTTTCTTTTTTTTTTTAATCTTCTTTCCTTAGCAGCAAAGTCTTTATTGCTAGAGAATCTACTTCATTGCAGCTCCAGGATTCCCATCTGGTTAAAGTGCCGTCCGCCTCATGTACTGCTTCAGACTCTGGAAACAGATACCGGCTCTGCTCTGTATTTCTGCTGTGTGTAGTTACCAGTTGGAGGCCACGTGACCTGTTAGATCGCTAACCCTGTACACCGAGTCTGTATGTTCTCACTGTGTGTTACTACGATGCTCCTGCTATTGTACAGTGTTTGTGAGATGCTCTTTGAAGATGGTACCTTTATATATATTTTTTTCATTTTCAATAAAAGCACGTTCCTTCCCACTTCCTGGTATTTAATACTGTTGCTGGATGTGCTGTGTGAGTGTGTATCCGGCGTTGCAGGACCTCAGAGCTGGAGGTGGCGCTCGTGGTTCTTGGGGGCTGGCTGTCTTCCCTCCCTGCAGGTGGTGTTAGACATGTGCTACCTGAGGTAACACGTTTTTGTTTTTGAGAGGGGGTGGGCGTGGGGAGGGCCCATGGGAGGGTCTCTGGAGTTTGATGGCCTGCTTTGTTTGCTCTCTTCTGTACTATTAAACTGCCCATGTTTATTTTCAGGAATGTTTTGCAAATGCCCTTCTCACTGTTCCCCAGTACAACTGTAGGTACACTGTTCCTTTTTATCAAATAAGCACGTTTGAAAGGGTACAGAGAAAGGTCTTAAATTCATTTAAAGAAATGTTTCCATGTGTGGAGATACTGGAATAAAGTCAATATATACTTTTGGATGACCATGTGTTTAGAATTAATTTCAGCTCATAAACAGGTTTATGTTACATTAGAAAGAGTAATATTCAAGATGGTATCCTTTAGGAAAAAAGGAAATTACACATCTGTCCTGCATCGGTGGGCAGGTTGTCAGCAGCATTTGGTCCAGCAACACAGTTTGTCTTTGCTTGCACAGTCATCGTTGTGCTGTGGAGCCGACTGCTCTTTCTAACCTAACATAACACTGTGGCATCGTGTGTGGGTATTGGGGGGGATGTTGACGGTGGTGTATGTTTCTCCCTATAGGCCTTCGTGGTAAAACACCTCTTGGAGTACACCCAGGCAACAGACTCTAACCTGCAGTACAGCTTGCTGTTAGTCCTAGGCCTCCTCCTGACAGAAGTTGTACGCTCCTGGTCACTCGCACTGACTTGGGCATTGAATTATCGAACTGGTGTCCGCTTGCGGGGAGCTATCGTAACCATGGCATTCAAGAAAATCCTTAAGTTAAAGAACATTAAAGAAAAGTCCCTGGGTGAGGTGAGTTTGGGGGTGTGCTCATGCCCAGAGTCAGTTCTCAGCTTAGTTCCTCCTTCCACCTAGGGCCTTGCTTTGTACTTGAACTTTCTCCTGAGTTGAGTGATCTGTGTCCTTGCAGGCTCCCTTCAGTGTGTGTTGTATCTTACAGCTCATCAATATTTGCTCCAATGATGGGCAGAGGATGTTTGAGGCAGCCGCTGTTGGCAGCTTGCTGGCTGGAGGACCTGTGGTTGCCATCTTAGGCATGATTTATAACGTGATCATTCTGGGACCCACGGGCTTCCTGGGGTCAGCTGTTTTTATCCTCTTTTACCCAGCAATGGTGAGTGAGCCTGTCAGTTGTCTTGGTGGCTTGTGCATAGGGAATGAAGTGCTTCCACTGGACTGTAGAAGGCACAGCCTCTGGAAATTAAGATGGTGCTCAGTTCATCTGGGCAGAATTTTAGCTTGAATGGAAATAAGGTGTCGCTTGTTTAAATGTTCCCGATGACATTAAAAAAGAAAGAGGTAGTCAGCCAGTGAACCTTGCCCCAGGTAGCACAGGAGCGCTTGAGTTACTCTATGTCCAGGTGCTGACTTTCTCTTCTCCATCCCCTTTGCTGGCACTCAGTATCTGTGACCACTGTGAGAACAGGTAGTTACTTGTCTTTGTTGCCTTACAAGGGAAGAGAATTAAATATATTTTTTAGAGTATTTTATTTATTATTTTACGTGTATGAGTGTATTGCCTGCGTTTAGGTAAGTGCGCCCGTGTTGTGCAGTGCCCACAGAGAACAGAAGAAGCTGTCGAATCCCCTGGAACTAGAGTTACAGACAGTTGGTAGCTGCCATGTGGGTGCTGGGAATCGAACCTAGGTCCTCTATAAGAACAATGTTCTTAACTGCTGGGCCATCTCTCCAGCCCTGAGAATTAAATATTTTATCACTCCTGAAGTCATTTTTACTAAAAAGCAGCACAACTACGTGAAATCTTGTCTATCCTAGAAAACAGGATTTTATGCTGGCTTTTCTTAGACTGTCTTGAGACAGACCAAGCAGTGCTTCAGTCTGAGTGGGCTCCAGTTTGACATGCTGTTGTTTTTCCTTTCAGATGTTTGTATCACGGCTCACTGCATATTTCAGGAGAAAGTGTGTAGCTGCTACAGATGACCGTGTCCAGAAGATGAATGAAGTTCTCACCTACATTAAATTTATTAAAATGTATGCTTGGGTCAAAGCATTTTCTCAGAGTGTTCAAAGTGAGTTTCAAGATTTCTCATGGTAGGAGGATTTTTAGATTCTTTGGATCTGATCATTTACCTACTATGCTTCCTGAACATATTAAATACTAGTTCTTCTGATGTCTTAATATAGAATCCTTTGTATTCAAAAGAGGTCTTAGACATTTGAACCTCGGGAACTCATGGTCCCCAAGATAACACAGTTAGTTAGAACAATATGTACAAATCTCTCTCTCACCCTACACATGATTTTTTTTGACCTGACCAAGAAGCTGATGGAGAAAACAGTATCAAATAATTTCTGAGAGCTCTGTTCTTATCCTTTCTGTTCTGTGCTTGCAAATACACCAGAGGTAGCCATGTGACCCTAAAGGAGGAACTGGGTGTCAGGGTGCCTGGATTCTGCTCCTACCTCTGCTACTCACCAGGGGATTGTTTAATTGTCTTTAAAATGATTGATGTAGTTACAGAGTTCTTAGTGCTTGACCCAATTCTGTGTTTAAATTAAGTGCAGGCATAAACACATCAAACATGTAAGCACCACATAGCTTAGAGGAAGAGACTGTCTCAAAAAGTCCAGAAAAAAAAAAAAAAAAAAAATCTGGGGCTGGGTGTGGTGACACACAGCTTTGATCCCAGCACTCGGGAGGGAGGCAGATGCAGGTGAATCACTGTGACATGAGACCAACTTGGTCTACATATCAAGTTCCATGCCAGCTACAGGGAAACCCTGTCTCAAAAAAACAAAAAAACTCCAAAACAAAAAAGATATGAACAAAAGTTAGAAGGATGAACCTTAAAAACAGTGATGTTTAGGAAGGATAAGGATATGTTTAAAGGCACTTTATTTAGAGTTTGAAAAAAGAATAGTTATATGTAACCTTAATTTAAATAAAGAAACTCTGGGCTGTTAATGGACTTAATGTCATAGCTGACTGTACAGTGCTCCTAAATAGTTAATGCAGTTTTAAATAGAAAAAAAACATTCTTTTGGGGCAGGAGAGATGGTTCAGTGATAAAGAGCACTGGCTGCTTTTGCAGAGAACCCAGGTTTGTTCGGTTCCCAACACCCACATGGCAGCTTACAATGATCCATAACTCCAGTTCCAGGTGATCTGATACTCTGTGTGGTACACTTAGATACATGCAGGCAAAACACTCATACACATAAAATAAAAATAAACCAAGCTGGCCATAGTAGTGCACACCTTTAGTCCTAGCACTTGGAAAGCAGAGGCAGGCAGATCTCTGTGTGATTCAGGCCAGCCTGGTCTACATAGTGAGTTCCAGGCCAGCCAGGGCTAAAATAAATAAAGATATAAATAAATAAATAAATAAATAAAATCTAAATAAAAAGTACAGAGTTCATATCAAAGCAGCTGGTTTGGTTTCATTGATTAAACCTACAACAGCTTACCTGGATTCTGTACTTCATGAGGTTGTTAAGCATTGCCAAGGCAAATAATAAATAAGTAATCAAATTTATCAGCTGTAGATACAATTAAAGTATTTCATCTAAATTCAAGAGACTTAGAAGAAGTATAAGAAAGCAGATGATGTTAGGTCTTGAGACTTGGTTCAGTCACACCTCAGCTTTACAGCTGATAAAATTGATGGTCATAATGTTGGCACTATATAATGCTTGTCTAGCATACATGAGACCCTAGATTCAATCCCCAGTATTAACCAAAAAGAATTGATAGTCATATTAAATTGGTTTTCTGCATTGTAGGTGTTAAAGAGTCATTTTAAAAACCTGTTTATGTCCCAGCATCATGGCCCTTGGGAAGCTGAAGCAGGAGAATTTCCAGTTCAGGATAAGCCTAGGCTACATAGGAAGACTCTGTCTCAAAAAATAATAAATAAATAAATAAATAAATAAATAAATAAGTGATAAATAAGACCTATTTGTGATAGAAGCCTGAATCTTATTTGGTGATGGAGGGATAACATCCCAAGTTTCTTTTGACTTGTTTTGAAGGTGGCTTGCTTTTTTATAGAAATCCGAGAGGAGGAGCGTCGGATACTGGAAAAAGCAGGATACTTTCAGAGCATCACTGTTGGTGTGGCTCCCATTGTTGTAGTGATTGCCAGCGTGGTGACATTCTCCGTTCACATGATTCTGGGCTTCGATCTGTCGGCTGCACAGGTAAGAAAATGCTCAGTGATGACAAATGTCACGGATATGTCACTCATGGAGATTTTCTGGTCCTCTTGTTACTTCATTTAGGGCTTCTGCCAAGAATTCAGTATATTTTCATTCATTTGATTAAGCTGAGAAGTGAAGAGTGGGGAACTATCCCTTGTACAGGAGTAATGTATGGACTGTTTCAGTCAGCCTAGGTTTAATTTTGAAAATACAGATCAACCTGTATTTCAGATTTACTAAGAATTTTAACTGAAGATAACATCTAAATACCAAAACAGCCAGGCCTGGCGATGTATGCCTTTAATTTCAGCATTCAGGAAGCAGAGGCAGGCAGATCTCTGTGAGTTTGAGGCCAACCAGATCAACATAGTGAGTTCCAGACCAGTTAGAGCTATAGGGAGACCCTGTCTCAAAAAAAGAAAAGCAAATAAGCAACCTTACCTTTAAAAAAAAAATGTAATTAGGCTGGGCATGGTGACACATGCCTTTAATCCCAGCACTTGAGGGGCAGAGGCAGGTGGATCTCTGTGAGTTCAAAGCCAGCCTGGTCCACATAGCAAGTTCCAGGCCAGCTGGGGCTGTAGGGAGACCCTGTCTCAAAAAGACCAAAAATAAATCAAATAAATAAATAATGTAATTAGGGCTGGCTAGACAGCTCAGTGGATAAAAATACTTGCCACTAAGCCTGGTGACCTGAGTTCAATCCCTGGAACATGCATGGTGGAAGGAGAGAACCATTTCCTATAAGCTGTCCTCTTACCTACACACATGTACATATGTATGTGTTAACACATACACCTACACAATAATTAAGACATTTTGTGTGTGTGTGTGTGTGTGTGTGTGTGTGTATGTGTAGGTCTGCATGTGAATGCATTCACAGGAGTGCTAGTGTCCATAGAGCTAGAGTTAAATGGTAGCTGTGAACTACCTGACATGGGTGCCAGGAACTGAACTCAGGTCTTCTGTAAGAGAAGTAGGTGCTGAACCATCTCTCCAGCCCCTGTTCTGTTTTTTGGTTTTTGATTTTTGTTGTTGTTGTTTATTTGAGACAGGGACCCATTGTGTATCCCTGGCTGGCCTGGGGCTCACTGTATAGACCAGGCTGGCCTGGAACTCACTGCCTCTGCTTTCTGAGTGCTAGGATTAAAGGCATGCACCACCACATCCAGCAGTACATTTTTTTTAATGTAACTAATTGTATTAACATTTGGTAGTTACAGCTTTCCTATCACGCCTGAAAGGAAACTGGTGCTCTCTTTAATTTCAGCTGCATAGCCTCACCAGGCTCTCTCACCTCTTTTTGTATGTTAAGGCCTTCACAGTGGTGACTGTCTTCAATTCCATGACTTTTGCTTTAAAAGTAACACCATTCTCAGTGAAGTCCCTCTCTGAAGCATCAGTTGCTGTTGACAGATTTAAGGTAAGTGGCTCCTTGCCCCTCTCCCATATCAGGAGCTATCATTGACACAACTCACTGCTACCCATATTCCAAGGGTTTGCACAGGCTGGCCACGGTTGGCTTTGGTTTACCTTAAGCCTTTTGGAGTTGGTAAGAAAAGAGGCAGTAGAGAAAAGGATGAATTAAGGATGAGAGTAATTGCCTTTTTAAACTGATATGAATTTTTATCCCTTCTGCATGGTCTGGATCTGGGGTGTGCTCCCTTTACAGGCCTGACATGGATATATGTCATCATTTACTTGGCCTTTAAGTGGCTTTAATATAGAAGACCAGCACAGCTGGTGACCATCAGGTTTCCCCTCCTTCCTCGTCCTTGCTGCCACTTTGATTGGTCGCAATGCTGAGTCTTTTTGATAATTTCTTTTTCCTACCCAGTGATTGCCACTACATGAGGCAGGGAATGCAGTGACATGGAAATAGTCATAAAACTAGATCATGTTGAGAAGTACAGTTAAGTAAGTATCAGTTCTTTTCCTTGCAGGTGGCTAGTTGATCATACCTTTGTTGTGTTGGTTGTATTTTCAGAATAATGCAAATATGTGATACAAGAGGGAGCTACTTGGGAGGGTGGAGGGAAGTAGATATTTGAAAGTGGTTAACAATTACAAAAAAAGAGCAGCATTTCGTGGGCTGGAATTCATTGACAAGGGAATTCTTGGACTCCTGACCATCTTCCTTGGCTGGTGAGAGCCATATGGGAGCAATTCTGGTGATAGGAAGAGTTGAAGCTCCAGTGTTTGAAGGATGACTGTCACTACCTTAGAGGCTCAGGAAGAAACAGTGGGTGTCTATTAAGGAGAGAGAGCAGCTCGTTGGAATTTATTTCTATTGTTTCCTAGTCCTGCAGAGTGCACCCGCATTCTCTTATCCTCCCCCTCCCCAGCCTGACTGCTAGGACAAGAGCCAGAATCACATGAAAAGAAATGTTCAAATGGCAGTCAGAACTTTGTTTTGTTGAAACCACAATATCCAGTCATGGAAGAAAGAGAATGTTTTGAGAGAAGTTCTCCCTCTTTGTTTCTCTATCCTTGTTAATGGATGGATTTGTTGACTTTTGGATGAAGAAGTGAGGGTAAAAAGTAGTTTTTTGAGCACTTTGTATTTTGAAGTTTATCTTCTTAAGTAAGAACTTATATTAGCAGGTGGCATGGATATATCTATAGAGAAAAATTGATCTTTTGCTTATCTGGAATCCAAGTTTAACTGGGTATCTTGTATTTTACCTGTTAGTCCTGTGAGTACTCCCCTTTTCTCAACAGTGATGCATTATGATTTGATTCTTCTGTTAATGAAAGTGAGCTGGTTTTCCATTTTTGTTTGTTTGAGGGTTGGTTTATTTTTGAGACAGGCTCACCTCTAACTCATGATCTCCTGCCCCAAAGTACTAAGATTATTGGTGTGCCCCACATTGCAGATCTAGAAACCAAAGTTTTTGTTTTGTTTTGTTTTGTTTTTATGGTCAGCATCCTGCAGGAAGTTGAGATTGTGGTTTGGGCACCTCTAAGATTCTATTGCCCTGGCAGGCACACATCTAAGTGGGTAGATGTTGTCTGTCTCAGCATGTCAGGGCAGGGCACCCTGATGCTGAAAGAGCTCTGAGCAGAGGGCAGGGCTGTGGGAAGTAGGAAGGAAACACAGGAAAAGAGCTATGTAATCTAAGAGGCACCAGCATTTTTCTTAATAGTTTGTTGAGGCCTAAACAATCTTCATCCTTTTACTAGATCTTGAGGGAAAGAAATAATGGAAATTCAGTTTGCATGTGGTTTTACTCTGTGAAGGCAGTCAGAAAGTTGATATGTTATTCTTAGCTCAGTTTCTTAGGAAGGCTCTGGATACATGATACCAGTAGGTATTTACAGAAAGCAAGAGTTATATCTAAACCTAATCAAGAGTGAAGGTTCTCTGGGAAATGTAGAAATATGATACTTGCCAACCTTAAGCCAATGAGATATTTAGCAATTAAGCAGGGTTTTCACTCTAGACGTTATCTTTTCTCTAAAGACTTTTGAATGTTTACATTTTTTAAATTAACTTTTAAAACATAGTCTTAGCCGGGTGTGGTGGCATATGCCTTTAATCCCAGCACTTGGGTGGCAGAGGCAGGTGGATCTCTGTGAGTTCAAGGCCAGTCTGGTCTACATGGCAAGTTCCAGGCTAGCTGGGCCTACAGGAAGACCCTGTCACAAAAAGACCAAAAAAAAAAAAACAAAAACAAAAACAAAAGATAATTTGATCTCTTCTTTGCTAATTACCACTCCATTAATTTCCTTCTTATTTTCTTATTGCTCTAGCAGGAGCTGTGAGCACTATATTGAAAAAAGGAGTGGAGATAGTGGACAGCCTTGTCTGTTTCCTGATTTTAATTGGGAATGCTTCC